CCGAGAGCAGAGTGTCGAACCGATATTTTTATTGGTTCGGTTCGGGTTCGGGTTCACGGCTTTCGGTTCAGTTCCGGTTCAGTTCCGGGGCGCAAAAAATAATGGTTCAAACCGGTTCGAACCGGTTCGAACCGGTTTGAACCGCTAAATTGGGAATATATTTTCCGCGTTGTTCTGTCAATAGGCGCTATTTAGGCCGTGAAACTAACTGCTGTAAACGGTCTGATTTTTGCGAGGACCTATTTTTGATAATTTCGCGAATCGCCTACAATTCGCGAAAAATGGGTCCCGCGAACAATTTCGGTAAAATGTAAACAGATTGAAATTTATATTGAGATTCCACCGCGTCGAGAAAATTACAACCCGCGAATTATTCCAAAACTTCAGCTTTGACCTAAATCGCGAAATATTGAGCCCACGAAAAATAGTCGTTTACAGTATATAGTTTTTTTTTTTTATTATTGTTTGTTCAATTCAGTTTTATTCTCAGGTACCAAAATTATAAAATTCTGTTATTTATTCCTACACAACAAGAAAGGAAAATCTACATTAACATACAAAACGTCGTGTTTATACGACTCAACATCCCTTCGTTTACCAGAGTCACATATATTGTACCTGAATCGAAATGTTTTCGGAAGTGAAGTAGGTTGCCTAAAATACCCGTGATTGGTACAACTTTGTATCGCAGTATTAGATGTTGAACCGTGGTTTTGCCCTTGAACTAAGGAATTAATTACAGTGAATACAATCATGAAATGGGCACCTCGTCGCCATATATATCATGGCATGTGTTTTACGGAATACGTTTCACAATATATATATGATGACGAGACGACTGAGCTTAAGGGAATATAATTTTCAAAATGTCACGAAAGTCACGGGACAAGTCCTTCCAGTCTATATTTTATAGGAACACTAAGCGACAATCGCAATGCTTGTTTTTCTAACTAGCATATTGTTTGCTCTCAGCACCATGATGCGGGCGATCAATCATGCGAAAAGAAGTGGCTGAAATTGTTCACTCTAACCTATGAGCACCTTAGTACTGAGATCGAATCTGACCTGAAACAGTACTTACCCATGTGAACATTTTCTTATATTGGATAAACTGGCGTAGCCTGGATGTTGAGGTTTGCTCTTGACAAAATGCAGGTCAATTTAATTTGCAAATAAGCATCACCCTCGCTAATTGATGATTTTTGTTAAATAGAACAAAGTGGTATTTCATGCTCTACTCAATTCGGAAGCTACCTAATTGGACACTTTCTGAGAGTTTAAGTGTGCAATCGTCATAGTTCCACCACTCGTTCCAGTAAAAAAAGGCGATAGTAAAAACACATAAAAAACGCGATAATAAACTTCTATATATTTGAGAAGTTATATATGCGTGAGGAACACATATAGTTATTTAAATTAGCTTCAAAATAATAAAAAAACATTATTTATATCTTTTCAAAATCACCTATAACGTGTCTATAGAGGATAAAAGCGCCGAAAAATATTTGCCGAACATCTTTCAGATAATTTAAAGGCGCATTTACTTATATATTTTGGAGGTGAGAATCTTCTATTTATGCTGCCAAATCTTCAGACAGGAATTAAGTATATTTTTATTATCATCGATAAATTTGACTTTATGAAGTTCACATAACCGCCTGAGACCGACACGGAAGGACGATACTCGAAAATACGCCAGCTGTTGTGTCTTCGGCAACGTGCTTTTGTTAGCTGTTTTGCAGTGTAAAATAGTGGGTTGCAGGGCATGCCAGAAAACACTGTGGTCACATGATATATCGGAAGGCAAATACACGAAATGTGCAGAAATAAGGAGATGACACGCAATTTTTTTCTAAATAATCCCTTACACAACGCGTTACTGCAAAAAGAAATGCATAGAAATGCATAAAATTATATTCCTAATTAAACATAGATTCCGCGCAGGGCAAACAAAGATTTTTTAGAATCCTAATATAAATCACTTTTGGGCATCAGCTTGCCTCAGCTCGAAACGTCGCGGGATAGTACCTCGGAAGGCTAATGTTATCTTAGGTTTTACGTGCACTTGTTTTGAGACCTTACTTCATGACTCTGTTCTTTATCAGTCATGTGCTCCGACATTTCATTAGGCTGCCGTATATCATCGCGAGACTACTATAAATACTACACAACTTTACACATTGGACGTCGTGCTGGTGTTGCGAACGTCGCACTTCACCAGAAAGCTGAAGTATTTAAGATGGTTTGCACGTGACGTAATCGCACTAGATACTGGTTGCCATTGCGAGTTGTTCTTGCTGAGAAAATCAAATCCGGTTTGGCAAAATGCACGCTGCAAAAGTTTCGCGCTCAGTGCAAGCTATGTATTTGAGAGGCACACATTTTTCTTGTTGGTACATCGTCGTTAGGCACGGCGCGAGTATCTGGCACGACGAAAACGTGCTTTCTGGCAAGAGTGTTTTTACAAATAAAAGTTGTACCAACTACCCATCTGTCACTATCGTTTCCAGGCCACGCTTTCTAGTCTGCGCCGAAAATGTGGGGCAGAGGAATCTTTACGACACAGTATGCTTTAAAACTACCCCCCTCCCCACTCCCTTTTTTTTTAGTGTCTCCTCAAGATACTTTTTATTCCTCAGGGATTGCCTGCTCCGTATTGAGTGGTGTTCACTCGACAATTATATTTGTGTCACTTGTTAACAGTAATTGTTCCTTGCTTTAACTTTGCACCAAACTGTGAAGGTTAAACAAAATACAGGGCGGTCGAAACTTGGAGAACTTGAGAGCGACACTCCTGTGAGACTTAGAGCGGCTGCCAACGTTCGGCTATCCCCGTGAGGCCACTAGGATCTTTCTTTTCAGGTATCCCTCCCGTACACACTAATAGTTCCATGTAACGTCCGACTAATACGTCACATTTAGACCCTTTAACACTTCTATTCTCGGGCAACTTTCTGAGGCAGTTCAGCAATAACGAAAACATGTTTGGGAGCCTCAATGGTGTGCGTACATGTAAAATGGGTCGTGCAGCATCTTTTTTTTTTTTTTTTACCTTAAGTTCAATAAATACCGCTAAGTTGTAATCCTTGACGTTGATAACTTGCAAAAGCATCCATTAGTTTGCCCCTCCGCGAAATGGCAGACAGTCGAAAGAAAGAAATGAAACAGCTTTCCCCTCCTCAACTCACAATTAGAACTATCAGCCACGTGATCTGATCCTAATATATACACCGTCAGTGTTTATCATAGTCATACGCAGGGTTGGCAAAGCATAGAGCATGGGCTGATCTTCAGATATAGTTTTAGTTGGGCTATAATGGGGCCCGAGCCCCACTAAAGCGACAAACAAAAACAAACGACAGCGGCTAGCCTTAAACCAGAGTATTTCGCGATTTGACAGGCTTTGTAGAATAAAGAAGGCTATGCTCAAACACGAGTATCATGCACACGATGGTACCATTTGCAGGCTTGTAAACACTCGTGCTAACTTCGCGAGCACCGAACAACTCAAAGCCGTATAAAGGTACCATCGCGAACATGCTGCATGTGTCTGAGGCTTGTCGCTTTCGTTTGTTTCTGTTTCTAGCTCTAGTGGGACTCGGGCCCATCATAATCTTTGAGTTGAACACGAGCGTTACCCGAATGTTTGGCGATACTGGTTGTCATGAACCAGAGCATTTGACTCGGGATCATGACAATCGGGTACATCATGGTGTCACGTGACTCTCAGTGTGAAGTTGTGATGTCATGTGACGTCACGGTATCAACAACGCTAATAGATCTAGCGACGTCCTCAATTCGAATCGACTTAACGCGGTGAGTCACGTGACGCCACGGGGTCACGTGATGTGACATTACTTGACAGCATGTCTTGACATCATGACGTCACGTGACATTGTGACACATGGCTAATCATAGTGCCAATAAGAAAGCGCCGCAAAAAACCAGGATTTATTATACATTGCAATTCTGTATATGACGATTTGATCAATACGTAGAGGAATATACGTGCCAATAATAATAAATTTGTAATACTAACAAAAAAAAATACCGTGAACCGTTTTGAACCGGTTACCGTTATATTTTTTTCCGGTTCAGTTCCGGTTCAGTTCCAAGATGGCGGCGAAGATTTCGGTTCGGTTCAGTTCCGGTTCGGCTAAAAATAACGGTTCTGTTCCGGTTTTCGGTTCGGTTCGGTTCGGTTCGACACCCTGGCCGAGAGCGTTGGCGCAAGGTCACGGTGCCTGAACCTGCACGGTCCCTCTCAACTGCGCGGCTATTGCTTCACAGCACCGGTTACGTGGGCCACGAAAACTCTCAGGCGAATTTAGAGAGGTCGCACTGCCGCGTTCATGGGAAAAGTGCGCCGTCGTCTGTAGGAGCGGCGCGGAGAGGTTTATGGCATCCAGAACGAGTGTGACATTTGTATTCACCCGAAGGAGTCTTCCTTCGCATAGAACATTAAACTTCATTAGGTTTTGAGGTCATGTGCACCGCGTCTCGGGTGTTTGCCATTTACTTGAGTCCGCGGGTGGCCGCGAGAAATTCGTGAAAGGTTCAGAGGATGAAAACCTACCCTTCCTCTGTACTGGACCCACTTTTCTTTTTCAATTAAGGAGTTCGGTCAGAGCAATTCAGTTGGTAGTAGCCTGTTTTTATTTATGTATTCCTTTCTCTCGAAGAGTACGTTAAAGTCAGAAAACACCTGAAGAAAAAGAAAACTCTATCCACCCAACTACGTTCGTCCGCCTCGCAAATGCACACTCCCATCGTAGAAAAAAAAGCAAAAAAGAAAATACACATTTCTTTTTGCGGGTTTCCTTACTTGCTGCGCCATTAAAATTGTTTTTCTTCATCGAAAAATCTTTTGCCTGGAAAAAAAAAAAACCTTACTGTATCCTAAGTCACGACCCTAATTAACACCCATGAACTTCACCCGGTGAGTTTGGGCTATAATGATTATTTAAAAAGAGAAACTGCGTTTCAGGTACATCAACGCAATGATTTCGGGACTAAGGGTTCTCACATTCTCAATGCATCGCATAGCTTCTTCCACCAGAATGATATCAACCACCGCTGGACTGAAAGGATACAAGTACGTTTTTCTTGTTTTCTTTTGTGCGACTGTAGTAGATAGCAACAGATCATGAATCTATGTGCATCCGTCCGTCGTGGCTCGATAACCCCACCACTCATTGTTTGGGTGAAAATCGGGGAGAAGCAGGGAACACGTGGCGAAAAAAGATGGGTCGTGACGGACTTTTGAAATGCGCGCTACGCTTGCCGGAGCAGTCTGCCGTACCAAATATAGCGGACGGTGATCACGTGATGTCATAAGCTAAATTATTTTCAAGTGATGTCATCAGCGAAATGATTTTCACGTGATGTCAGAAGCATGAAGTTGTAGGCTGACTCCAGTTACGCGAACAGGTCACGCGACGTTGATAACGTTACTGATACCATAACGTGACACCGGAGCGTTACGTGACACCAACCGTATGACAAAGTCACGTGATGCAGGCAACATGATCACACCAGGTATCGTGAGCTCGGAGACGTCACGTCACATTACGTGACAGTGTGACTTCCCCGTGTCACAACACATAGCTAGAAGCGTCACCCTGTTACGTGACGCCCAACGCATAAACACGCGGCCACATTGCAAAAACAGATCTGATACTGTCACAATGCGGAGAGCAAGACGTCACCGCAACTCCCGCGCAAGTTGCGCGGGAGTTGCGGTGACGTCGGAACGACGCCGAGCTCCGATTGGCTTTGATTGAGAGGATAGTGGGTGGACCTCAACGCTAGATTCCTCCAGGTCTACCCACTATTTGTTTCAATCAGCCAATAAGAGCTCGGTGTTCTGATATCATATCAACCCCTGTGCAAGAAGAAGACTGCACTTGCCCTCCGCATACCCCTCCTCTGGCCGCAGCCCCAGAAGTTGTCGTGTTTTTGCAGTGGGATTTTCGTCGTATTGCACTACGCGACACACCGAACAACCGCTTCTGTTCAACTGTGCTCAGCTCGCCGCCGCATTTGTTCAGTTATCTCCCCTTCAGTATGTTCCTCCTTCTGCGAGTCATTGTGAAGACTGCGGCACATCCACTGACCGCCTCGTCCCGCGGCCCACGCGAGTTAGAATGAGGAGGAAGGCGCGAAAAACCTGACTTTCCCGAGAATGCACATGAGTGTCGACGTGACAACCGGAAGTTTTCAGGGGTGGATGTGTGTTCGTGTGTTTGCGCGTGAGCGTGTGTGTTTGGAAGGGATTTAAAATAATCTTTTGTTGGATTTAATGCATCCCACACTATTTCTTTTCAACGTGGACAGTGGGGAGAAAATGTGAGAAGTAAAGTGACATCACCTTCAGAGATATCTAGATCTTCGCCCTTTCAGCAAGGATTTCCGAAGCGGTCGATAGCGGACTTCGCGGTTCGCTTTTTTTCTGCCGCCGTTAGCTGGATTGTTTGTTAAAGGGAAACTGGAGCGGTTCAGTATTGCAGTAGAATTACATTAATCGTCTTCTTTTGGCCTGCAGTATCACAAATATCGAGGTTATTTTTAATTTTGGCGTACATGGGCTGCAGAGCATCAGTTTCAAAAGTACTGCTGAAGCCCGTTTTTCGCGAAGTGTTTCGACATAAAATTAGTTTTCGGAATTTCCTCTCTCGCGCATTTTTAACATCTTCAGCGTCTATCTTCACGCTCCTTTTTCTATTTTCAATTGGCGACGTGCGCGACCGAAAGCGTCGCTGTGGTCGGCCTTCCACGATTGGCCCAAAAGCTGACTATGACGTCGGAAAGGGTATACCATCGACGGAAATAAGAGGAATGAAAGAACTTTAATTTCGACGGTGTCGGCAGTGTTGCTTTGAGAGCGCAACGATTTCAGGCTTCCACCATGCTATTTACAAACACCATCGAACTTGTTGTTCGCAAGGTAATGACGTCACAAGGGGGAACCATAGGAGGGCGCCACCGAAACACCTCGCCGCTAATAAGGTGAAAAAAAGTCGCCACGAAGGTGCCAGTGCAGGGCAGTATACCCGGCAAGCTTGCATTTGCACTCGGTGCCGACAGAAGCGACACGCGTTTGGCGGCCGAAACATCGTAGTATGACGAAACGACTGGTTTGAGGTTCTTCATGTTTTCTCGCATTGAGTGACATCTTTGAGAAAAATGTACGTGATATTCAAATTCACGGGATAAAATACCCTAGAAGAATTCACCACTAATTCGTTTTCTTCAAAAACCTCTTGAGCTTCCCTTTAATCACGTCTTCGAAGCAACGGAGTGTCACAATCAGACTTGCGTAGAATAGGCTAGAATTCACACCACACTGATTGTAGATGAAATCACGTTTTTTTTTTCTTAACGATTTCCGTGTTTTTGTGCGAACCTACAGTTTAAAAGGGAAGGAGTGACCGTACACATCGATGTACACAGCGAAAATAGGACCGGTTTCCGGTGATTGACGCCATTAATCACCATGCGTTCGTGGGCCTCGTCGGCCACCATTTCACATTGGAAATTTTCGAAAATCAAACTTTTGAGTCAAATGACGGCAAGCTCCGAAACGCTGACATCCAGTTCGGACAGTTATACTCTGTTTCACCTTAGGACCGACCGCAGTGAATGCTGCGAGACATCAGGGACTATCCAATGCCGCATAAGTGTCCTGTGATCTGGGAGAGGGTTGCAATGTCGAGCGAAAAGCGGTCACGTGCTAGTTTATAGAACTGAATAGGTTGGGATGGCTTCTTGCGTTCGCTGTGTTCGGTCGTAATGTGAAACGGAGTTTAGTGTTTTGTTTGGGCAGAAACTGAGCGTTCGGAGGTACCCCCCACGTGGCACACTGTGGGCTCCAAAAGGGGGTCCAAGAGGGGGTCCCATGTGAACTGCGCCTGTTTTGGAACTTGGACCCAGGTCGGCCGCACTTTGGCTGCCCACCGGGCTTTCCTCGTGTGACCCAGAACGGGCTTACTTGGGCACTCCACCTCGGCTTCTCCCGTGGCACCTACAGGAGGCCTACTTGAGCAGCCGACATGAGCTTCCCTCGAGGTCCAGACGGGGGGCCTAATTAGGCAACCCAGATGGGCCCCCCTCGTAGGACCTACAGTGTGCTTCCGTGGGGTGCCCACCTGAGGTGGCCCAGATACCTCATTTCGCTCGGGGTTATTTCATAATTTCCTTACGGTGTCGGGTATTGCAGGGCATACTAAATTGAGCATGCCTCACTTTCTTGGTGGGCATACTGGAGATATCACCATTTTGATAAATCTATAAAACGTCTTGAGCAAGCCCATAAACATTGGGAATTTCAAGTGTGCAAAATGGGACCAGAAAAAAAAAAACTGCATACATTTCCATATAAACTCCTGTTGGACAGGTAATCGGGTTACATAGCCAGCCTGAGCCGTTTACACACACCTAACTTTGAAACAGATACGACTTTCTCATGAGCGTGTTTCGAATTCACCCTTAAATTAAATACTGAGGGTAAAACATTCTAGCCCACGTAAAAGGACCTTCTCAACATATATGCTGAGTAGTAAGTTAGTAAAGTTTAGCGGGCCAAAGACTTCTCACTCACGCTTACAATTACAATCCTCGGTTATTCGGTATCAAATTAAGCCAATCTCTTATGTTGCATTTCCAGAACGTGCAGTAAATATTCTTAATATTAGCAGAAAGTACCGTTATGGCAGTTGCAGAGGTAGTCCAAGTTGGGCATGCCCGCGCTTTGCTCCCTTGGAACCCACACCGTTGCTAACGTGTTCCACGCGGACCGGAGGTAGGACCCACTTGGGTTTCAGTTTGGCAGCCCAAGCCGGGTCTGCTTACGCTTTGCAACCGTGGAGCGCACCTTGCTGCTAACTTGCCCCCCCCCCCCCCCCTGGAGCGGAGGTGTGATTTACGGGGTTTTTACATGGCAACCCAATCAGGCATGCCTGCGCATTGCCAAAGTAGAGCCCGCACCGTCGCCATCATGTCCCACGCACAGCAAACGTGAGACCGGCAGGGGTTTTACTCGTGCAGCGCCAGTCGGGCCTGCCCACGCTTTTCCCCCATGGATCCTCTCTACTCGTAAACTGCCGAGGTGGGACCCACGGGGGTTTTGCACGGGCGGCCCAACTCGGGCGTGCGCACGCTTTGCCCGTATCTTCGCTAACTCTACACCCTCATTGCCAAGGTTGGACCCACGGAAGTATTCTACGGGCCGCCCAAGTTGTGCACGCCCATACTTTGCCTCCCTGAGGCCCACATTTGCGTTAACTCTGCCCCCGCATAGCCGAAGTGGGACCCACGGCGGCATGGCACAGGCAACCCGGACTAGGAGTGGCCTCGCGTAGCACCGGTGGGGCCCACGAGGGTATTGCATGGGCAGCCCAAGTGAGGCATGCGCACGCTGTACCCAACTTTGCCCTCGCATATCTGATGTGGCACCCACAGTGGCACTCCGGGGGCAGCCCATTTTAGGCATGCCCACGCTACGTCCACGTGGGACCAAGGTGGGTTTGTAGGGGCTGCCCGAGCATCTATTGCCTATGTGGGCTCTACATCGGTTCCACCTCTTGTGGTACCTGAAGTAATATATTTTCGCGGTAAAAATAAATATATTGGAGGGACATTTTGTAGTTACACAAATTAACTTGCACACTCAATCTAAGGCGATTGAAATATCCTTAAAATTGAATGCACTCTACAAAATTTTCAACTTGTCCCATTTCAATTTGCAAACTTGTTTTTTCTCCTTTATTAGCTTCCGGAAGTGTGGACATGAAAGCGATATAAATGGGCCACTGTCTTCACCGTCTGGCTCAAAACAAGTATCCTATGCACGAGTCAAGAAGACACCGCTCTCCGGAAGCCCGGTGGGAGGCTTCAGACCACTAAAAGACACACCATGCAAGGAGGTAAAGATAGTAATGACACTTTTAACACGGACAGCTTAATAGGAATGTTATCTAACGTATCGAAGTATAAATGCAAAATACCAGGAAAAATGTATTAAGAAACAAGCTAAAATAATGTTTTTTTTTTTTTTTTTTTTTTTTTAAAGAGAAGAGTTTAACAACGAGACAAGTACAACGAGGAGTATTCGATCATCCGAAAATACTATTTTAAGAACATTTGGTTCCCGCAGATTTAGAGGTTAGTCCGAGATTGATTTCGAGTGGACAAAATGAGCAGTGCAAAGATGAGGGGTGAACTCAATATGCTACTACAATCACTTGTTTGAAAATAAAATACCATCTTCAAAATAATTTGTTTGGCATAACATAGGCAGCTACGTCATCTAAGGAAAAAAAAACAGGAACTTATTTCTCTCTCTCTATATATATATATATAGATATATGTGTGTGTGTGTGTGTGGTGTGTGTGTGTGTGTGTGTGTGTGTTCACTTTGAGCTAAAATTCAGAGGTTCAATAAAATGTCTGCTGCCACTTATTATTCCACAAAGCGTTTCAAACAGGATATTGTTAATGCGACAGTTATGAAACATAAGAATAGGATCATCCAAACAAAAAATGAATTGTTCAACCCGGCCCTTGCATTTTTTTTTTTAAATCTTCGATATGCCAAAACCGCCGCAAGATATGTGCAGATTCACGTCTCAAAGAGTGCTCAAAAGTGTATTTGATTAGAATTATAACTGAAATACTCAAGTTTTACTATTTACTGTTAGTACTGTTAACACGATGCTCTTGAAAGCGACAAGAGATGACAAATGTTGAATAATTTATGGCTGGCACGTGGAACACGGAGCGAGATGGCCGTGCGCGCCACGGCCCAGTCGCCGTCTTCACCTTCCTAACATCTTTCTCACCGACGACAACGGCTGACCAAGCCGCTGATAATGAGGACAAAGAGGACCCACAAGGACACACAGATAAAAGAGCAAAAGGCAGCTACTTACAGAGAGGGTGGCGAAGAAGATGGGAAGACCGTACGAGCTCTGCCTCTATCCGCAGCCTTACGGACCTCCGCACCAGCCACAGCCACATGAAGGCACGGTCGGGGCTCGGGGACACGTCATGAAGCGCGAGTACGTCTGGGCTGAGGACATGTGTTGGGGGGATCGTCGATCGGCTCCTTCTGTTTCATCTCGTCATGGCGTTTGGGCGGGGGCCGGCGGCGGAGCCATGGGCTGTTGTTCGGTCTGTCGCTGCGGATTACTGTATACACTCATCCCATTATCATGTTCACTAGACGCGGCACCTCGGGCCTTCTTGTTACGGGCTGCTGCCTTCCCGTGGGGCCATGGCTCTTTAGAGCCAAGAAATAAAGATTAAAGACTACTGCAGCAATAAGGAAGCATGGCATCATGATAGCGGCGACGATGTTCAGTGTAGGGGATGAGCATGGTTCCGCAACTCCACCATACTGTTAGGATGATGCTGTCGGCATAATAGAGGACAGGATAAGCGGCGACAAATGATAGAATGAGGCCGAGCAAGCACGTTGGGCATTGTGCTAGATGGTCGTGCGTGCCACTGTCCCGTTGTCGTCTTCACCTTCCTAACAGTATTTTTACTAAATAGAAGTTATACAATAAGCAATTTTTACCATTTACGGTTTAAAAAGGAAGCACAAAATCCTCAAATTGTGAATATTCACTTCAACATCTTTTTTAAATAACTTGCGTCCGTTAACGCCTTACATATATTTAGCGCATCTATCTTTATCCAAGTATGCATAGAAGGAGAGCGCATGCTCAGAACGAGCTCACATTAATACGCTGCTTAGACAGGCAGTCTCGATGGTGTAAAATGCGCGGTGCAAAAAAAAAAAAAAAAAGCTCGGGCAGCTCGCCATCATCAAGCGCTCAGCAGTCGAGCACACAGCTATGGCCGCCAGTCAATACTCCCTATTCGCCTTTCTTTGTTTGGAAGCAAACAAGTGCGTCATCTATTCGGCAGCCCCGGGCACACTTCGGGTTTACATATGTTTTCTAATTTATTTACTCATCATTCCTCTATCATAAGAGTGAATTAAGTCTTACAGCGCTATAAGTACCCATTTGCAAAAACTAACCCGTGTATTTAATTTCGCAAATACTGCGAAACCGGCCGTCAAGTTCAGAACAGGAGCTGGTTGGGGGCTTTTTGCAGACTGGCGGAACCACGTTTCAGCTCATGCGAAGACGAGCGAATAGTTATGCGCTAATGAGATGAACGGTCATCAAAACAGTGTCATAATATACAATGGCTTAAGTCCGCGCGGTCACTAAAACTGTCGAGATTTGTGTCCACATACTTTTTGACATTCTTTGTGTTTACAAACATGTAATGTTCCCATTTAAACAAAAATGTATGTAAGCTCCAATCCCATAAATAAAAAAGACAAGATACTGGGAGTTAAAATAAATGAACTTATCAGGCGACTGGCTGAGGTACAGAGGCAGTTTTTGACAACATGCACTTTCAGAAAGAAAGAGGATATATTCGTCCACCCCTTTCCCCGTATAAGACTCCCCAAAATTTCAATTCGACGTGCAGCACACTAATGTAGAACCGACCGTGCCAACTTTCCCAAGCGACTTGATAGCCGAGTAGTACAACTTATTGAAACCGCTAATGTACGTGTTACTGACTCCAAAAAGAAAGAAGAGTGTTTTGTTGGCCCTATTGCAAAACCTCAATGTTTTTTGTTTTGCTTTTCTGTAGTCTTTGATACGTACTTTAGCTGTTTAATAACTTATATCGTACCGTTATCAAGCTCATTGTGAAAGTTGGTGCCGTCTGTTTGACGTCAGTGCGTTGTACGCTGAACTGAAATTTTGGAATGTATGGGAGAGAAGAGTGTAAGGCTACACCTTTCTTTTGGAGTTTAGGTGTGTCGGAGGGGGCTTCATGACCAGTACGTTTTGCATGATGGGCATTATAGGACCAAATCAGCTTTCGAATCAAAGCATTACCTCTCTAATGTCGGCATTTGGGCTCATTTCTTGTATTCGACTTATTTTACATGCGACAAAAATAAATAACCCAGTGACATTTTCTCTTCTTTACAGCCAGGAACTAAGAATTCCAACTGACTCATATGTCGAGCATTGACCATCATTGTCCGGCAGTACAACAGGTCAAGCTCGCTAAAAAGAATTTCGTCTTTAGGTTGTGGGCGTAATAAATAAAGGATTCCTTTTTGTTAACTTCGTTTTTCCGATCTTAAATAAAGTAGCTCTCCCTTACTTCCCTTTGAGGAGATCTGTTTCAGAGATACCCATGATTATTTCTTTTTTAGGCTGTGGTGCATGTCGATGTGATGCTGAAAAAAGCCAAAATGTATGTCTGGGTTCTGGCACCATTTTTGCGAGGCAGCATTGTTTGGGTGTCTTTCTTAATTCTTAGGGTCTACAGTATCAACAAGAGCATGGCTTACTTTAGTCTGTTGGATTAGAATAAACAGATGGGAGTTCATTTCCTTCAATCTACCCTCCGCAATATATGTTTCATTCAAGAAAGGAAATGTTTACCTAAATTTAATTAAAACATTTTATCCCAGTATGGATTAGAGTTCGTCATTGGTGCGGTGAAGCTATTGGATTTTGTGTGCCACGTGTATCTCAAAGGAACAAAAAAGCAGTTATCTTGTTTCAAAATTTAGAAATTGCCGGCCAGGCATTTAACAGAAACGTAAAATTTTTATTTCATACATCGGCTTTTCATTCAAAGTTGACGCGTGATTTAGTTTGTAAAGACAAAATGAGAGAATATTCTGGAACAGATAGGGCGTTATGCTACATTTCTAAGAAAACGAAATAATACAAAAATACTTCTTAGAATAGACTTCAGTTCCCTTTAAAGGATGTACTGGTCGTCTAACATCAGAATACTGGAGGTATGATGGCAAAAACTTAATAATGTTTATTATTAACTTGGTTAATTAAGATATAAAAAAAACTTAATAGAAACACCAAATTGTAGATTGGAGTACAATGAGAGATTAAAGTCACCGCTTCTTAAATACAGTTTTTTTTTCAGGCAGCCTTAAAAAAATATAATGTGATGTCGGAATTAAATCGCATCCCCAATATTCATTTTTCTAAAGTAAAACGAATATATAGATGAAATAATTTTGGGGGGTCTTTATAGAGAAAACCTATATTATTATTAGTTACAAAAGACGCATTGTGTGGGAACTGAGCATCTGAACCGGACGATAATACATTCCTTTGGTCTTGGTTACTTCGTATATAATCCCAGTATCACTCGGAACTGAAAGCGGGCATCTGTGCGATGCACGGCCATAACTTTGAAGGAAGGGGGCCTGAGGCTACGGCCCTGAATGATGTATCAAAGTATATAAGTTCACTTAGGGCAATAATGGGAGCTGTGGATGTACTAATAGAAGTGTGCAAGTCGTCCCAAATAGTGACTCGATACGATATCGTGTTTGACTTGCTGTACCCTGGCAAAGATATCCAAATGGGAAAATAATCACCGTTCAGGGTTCCAGAAGCAATTTTCCAATAATTATTAAGGCTGCGGTCCCACGGCAGCCATCTTGAACGAGGCGTTAGTTCAACCAATAGATGGCGACACGCACCCGTGGGGTGGCCGAAACATTGGTTCACAGTGGGATGGCTCGAGCACCATCACGTTCCCCTCGTGGCCTTGCTCGCGCCGCTGCCAGCTGTGTTCAGCTAGCTGAAGTAGCGTGGCCCAGCAAACGGATGTATGCGAGAATGTCAGGCTGGGTATAAATTGTTCTCTGATATAGGGAGATGCGGTTCGGCGGTTGTAACGGGCTTTCGCAATAAATCTTAGCAATAAGGAATCCAATGTTGATTGACGTGTCAATATTCTATCAATGAAAATTTTCTCTGCAGGAATGCACGCTCAGTAGACTCAATCTTCCAAGACACCAGTGGAAGCGGACGTGAAGTAAACTGCTTCGCGATTTACGGTACTTACCTCACCATTTTAATGACGACTAAAATAACATCACGAAATATTGTGTCACGGGGTCCGGAAGATGTTGTAAAGGTTGTTACATTTTAGGTTCCCAGAAAACAAACGCTGTTGCAATATTTTCGGAAGTACCGATAAACATAATGTTGTAAGTACAGCTTAGGAGGAATATGATGAAAACTATCAGAAGAAATAGAAATACGTTTATTTGCAATGATGACGCTATGAATGAAAGGCGTTTAGCGACGGCAAGTTATGAGCGTTCGGGAATTTATAAGTTGACGTGATTGCTAACTATGGACATGCGAACAATGAAGACCAGTTTTGTCGGGAGATGGTGTTGCGGTGATGACCTGATATCGGACGACTCATGGCAGACGAACAGGCAAGTTTCTTCTCGGCGAAGGGTAAGTGTCCAGTGTCAAGCACAACACGTGGCTACCGACGTTGTCGACGTTTCGAACACTTACCGCTTTCGACAAAAGTCCTGGCACCTGGGCTAACTTTGTGGAAAGAATCGAAGACTTCCTTGAGTCCAACGCCATCATCAACAGTAACTGAAAACGATCCACTATTCAGTCGGTGGGTGGCGAAACGTATCCGCATCTACGGAGTCATGGGCGATGCGTGCTCTAAGTGGCTGGAAGTTTACACGATGCCTGCCACGACTTCCAAACACGTCATTGACGTTCTACGGTCTCTTTTACCTACTTTTGCCGTACCGAAAATACTTTTCTCTAATAACGCGCAAACTTTTGCTTCAAATAAAATAAACAAGTTTTTTAAGAAAAAAAACCGCCATGGAGGCATCACATTAATGCACCATACCATCCTGCAACTAACGGGCAAGCAGAACAGATGATATGCGAAACGAAAAAAAAAGCCCATTTGAAGCTTACGGAAGAAGCAGTTCAGTGAAGAATCGCCAGGTTCTTGTTCCGGCAGCTCGCGACGGTTTCATCTTACACGAAAAAAAAAACCCGCCGAAGCAATATTCGGCGGACGAAAAGCCACACCCCTCGATCTCATAATACTGTGGCCTACGAACAAAGATCGAGAGATTCCCAGATAGAGAGTAATGGCAGTTTAATCGGTCGGACAACTCGTCTACGTGAGGAATTTCAGCGGAAGTGGGGCCTTCCATGTAAAACTTGAGTAGAAAAGTCTCTATATTGGTTGACCAGGAGGTGTCATCTCTCTGAATACGTTGGTTATCAATGCCCTTCAGTGTAAATATAACTAAATCTCAAAACTCTCTTTGTATATTGTGTAACTGCCCTTGTATTTGATCGTAGAAGCTATGGTGGTGATTTGGACCTTTCACACCAGGCTCCTTTTTCTTATTTTTCGCTTCATACTCCTTTGCGGTTTAAGTATGCTTCAAGCATCTTCTGGAACGGGGACGCTTTACGTCAACGAGGCCATTTGTTCCAAGTAGTCAATCAGGAAATGCTGCTAGAAATCCGTTTCTCATATTAACGAATAAGCCGCACTTCTGCACAGTGCAGTTTTCCTGTTCCACGTAGAGTTGTAAAGCAGCATCCTCATTGATTCTACCATATACTGTTGCGGGTGAAGAAAGTCTTTGGGTACACGATACTTGAAACAAGTCTGGCACTGTACGTTGTGGTTCGACACTCACTAATGTCGTCGTCCTTATAGAGCCTCATCAATTAATAATTACCTCGTCACCTCATATTGCTCTTCATCAACAGTAAGTACAATAGGCTACAGCCATATTACAATCCAAGAATTGAAAAATGTAGTCGTTCAGTCCTACAACAAGTTTATTATTTATACATTGTTATTACGTTACATTACCTCGAGACGATCGACGCCCATCGTCGATCTTCAAATACTTATACCTGTATATAAATTAGACGCACAAGGGGGGGGGGGGGGGGGGGGTCGGTGGCCGAGTGCATGGTCTAGCGCACACTAGCTCGGAGCACTTGGAGCGAAAGCTCGCGCTGCAGAGCCCACCCCGCCCCTGCCCGTTTCGATAAACCAATTAAACATGTATTGCGGGCGATTTTACCCTATTTAACGCACATATTCAATTTAGCACTTAAGTATGGTACCTTTCCAAAAAAAATGCAGATAGCAAAGGTGACTGTAATATATAAAACCGGTGATAAGAATGACTTAGGAAATTATCGACCTATTTCGGTTTTACCCATATTTTCCAAGGGATTAGAGAAAATCATACATCAAAGGCTTAATAATTTTGTGAGAAATTTTCAATCATTACGCCCTGTCAATATGGATTTATGAAAGGTCGCTCGACTGAGATTGCACTTTTAAAACAAAAAGAACTACTTTTAGGCAACATCGAAGCGAAGCTGATAACACTCGGCATATTCATTGATTTCACAAAAGCCTTCGACCGCATAAATCATAAAACGTTACTTAAGAAACTGTTCATTTATGGTGTTCGCGGAGTCGCTTTACAAATGATTACTAGTTACCTTCAAAACCGCCATCAGTGTGTTGAAATAAATAAGACATGATCAAATTTCAGACCACTAATCGCCGGTGTACCACAGGGCAGTATATTGGGGCCACTCCTCTTCAACTTGTATATTAATGACCTAGTAAATATTAATGGTAATGTGAACTGCATTATTTATGCGGACGATACGAGTATATTTTTTTCCGGCGTTAACATAGATACAATTATAAGCAATGCGAACCATTATCTTTATCAATTAAATGCTTGGGCACTATCGAATTCCCTGCAAATAAATGTAAGTAAAACAAAGGCCGTGGTATTTAGATCTCGGAATACAAATTGTAGTCCTAGGTCTGTACTTTTGCTTGGTACAGGCACTATTGATATAGTTGAGAGTGTAAAAGTCCTGGGGGTAATCTTTAATCAGTACATGACTTGGAACGATATGGTGCAATACACATGTAAAAAGCTATCGAAGGCTGTGGGTATAATATACAGATATCGCCATATGATTCCTAGTTCGGCCATGATACTCGTTTACAACTCTATTTTCTACGCTCAATATAACTATTGCTTTTTGGTATGGGGAATTACGACCTTGACTAATATAAATCAAATGCATATTCTTCAGAAGAGAGTGATTCGTACGATATGTCATACTAGCTATGACAG